GGGAGGAGGAGGACAGTGTGGGCCTGGTCAGCCAAACAGTGATGCTATTGGAATCTCTCCCCAGTCCTGAGCCCCAACTCAGCTCTGGGGGGTTGTCTCCTCCTGCTGGTCTCCTCCAAGCCTCAGATGGCGGCCACCTCCACATCTGAAAGTCGGGCCTGATGCTTCCAGCTCTCTCTCTGCCATTTACTGACCCCATTCTCTCAGGATGGAAGAGGATGAAGGAGAGTTTTTTGTTTGTTTGTTGACAGACAGATCCTGCCGCAGGTTTATTTGTACAAACAGCACAGAACGGCACCAGGGCCATGCAGACAGCAGCCCAGGGGCCCCCCAGTCCTTCCATCCTCACGTCGGCAGACAGAGGCCTCTACTGTGGAGCCTTTGTGGGGCCTGGGCACCTTTGGGAGCAGGAGCCTGGGTACCTTTGGGAACCTGAACTTCAACCTGACGCACAGCCTGGGTCTTGGTTTCCGCCTTGGCCTTGGCCTTTGGCCGGCAGAGCCTGGTCCTCTTCCCAATGTAGGCATGAGCACGTTTCCCAGGCTTGGGGTGAGCAATTTCGGCAGGTCGACTGAATTTGCGGCTACAGCCCTTTGGGGTATTGGACCTGGGCTCCTTGACACAATTCCTCAAAGTTTTCTCAGATCACCAATTTGTAAGAAAAAGAAAAAAGAACAGGCAGAGTTTCTGCAATGATGTTAAATTGTAAGATAGTATTTTCAATGTTTAAATGCTAAGAATAGGTTCATATCAGTGAGATGACTCTTCCACCTGCTTTCCTTGTCTGTTTTGCAGGTTTTTGCCATTATGGCAGGGACGGGGCAATCAGTGAGTTCCACCCCCTGCCACACCCTGATTGGGTCATGCTGTGGTCCAACCCCAGCAGGTCTAGGGGTCCCCAAAGGTGTGGAAGGAGTCGGCGAAGAAGGAATGACACAGAGGCAGCGTTCAGTTGATCAGCAGCCTAGCCAGGATCTCTAGCCAAGTTCTGGTCAGGATCTCCAGCCAGGTTCTGTGTCCATGTTCTCTTGCTAGGTTCTCCAGCCAGGTTCAGTCAGCAGGTTCTAGTCAGGTTCTCTTGCCATGTTCTATCCAGGTTCTGTCTCTATATTCTGTCTCTAGGTTCTTCAGCCAGGTTCTCTCGCTAGGTTCTGTGTCCTGTTGTCTCGTTACATCTGTATTTATACCAGTTTTTTCCAATCCTATCAATCTCTATTCCAAAGGTTAGGGCGTTTCTTATCTCCATTCCAGGGAGTAAAGATTATGTAGCTTAAGTGTGATTGTTCGTAGTTAAAGTGATTAACTACCAGCCCGGCACTTAGTTAAGGGGTTTTATTCCCTCCCTAACTTCAGGGGAAAATTCCTACCTGGGGAAACAACCTTTCTCAGAGAGGTAACCTTGGTTAAAATACATAGCGCCAAGAAGGTGAGCAAACATATTAAGAACAGTATGCAATATACGTCAAGTCCCTTGAAACATATGCTGTGCAGATGTTTCTTCCCTGCAGAGACTGTGTCAAGCAGCAAGGATGGAATGGCTCCCAGCAGGGTCAGAAGTGCACATGTGACCTAAATCCGTCCAATCAGTGTGAACCTCAGGACTTTTTCCTGGGAATTCTGGGACACACCATTGGTTTGGATGGTGTGTGAACATGTGGGGCTTGGTGCTGCTGTAACCATTTTTTAAAAAATAATTTATAAAAATTGATTTCAGAGAGAGAAATATGATTGCGTTGCCTCTCATAGGTGCCCCAACCAGGGAACGAACCCGCAACCTAGGTATGTGCCCAGGCCGGGAGTTGGACCCACAGCCTTTTGGGGTAGGGGAGGACACTCCAACCCTCGGAGCCCCTCAACCAGGGCATTGTTCTACCTCAGGGAGCTGGTCTGAAAAGAAGCCAACACAAGGGCACCTGCAGCGGGAAGGAGCCCGAGCCCTGACGTAACAATGACCTCGTTAGTCACAGTTGTTGCTTAATCCACCTGGAATGGGTGTCTGTCCCGACTGAACGCATCCTGAGCCGTATCCTATCTGGTTTTTCTCACAGCAAGCTGAGAAGGTGTGCATCTGACTGGCAGGGTGAGATGCTGTTTGCATCTATTTTATGGCTTCCTTTACCCCCAACCAAGGCCTAGGTGCATTTTGTTGACCATTAACTCCTTTCTGTGAATAGAGCAGCGTGTGGAGCCACCTTTGATTCACAGAGCCCTTCCTCCTGCCAGTCACGGCCACGTCAACTCTGGCACCTACCCAAAGGCCCATTCCTAGCCCAGGACTCACAGGGACCATGATCTGTAAGTAAAAGCCTCGTACCAGGCTTGGAATGACCAGCCAAATGGCAAGCCAGGCATTTCCCTTCGTGTTCGCACCCACTGTGCCAAGGGCTCGCCGTGTGCCTCACCATGTGCAGGGTTGGCTGCTCAAAGGCACAGTAGCCCCTGGCCTGTGGATGCCGTCATTGCCTCTCTACTGCGTATAGTCGTGATGCCTGCAACGTACAACAGTGTCATCTGATAGAGGGGTTTTGTCAATAGTCCTTCTGGCTTTCTCTCTGAGCAAAGTCTGTATCATTATTTTCGCAGCAGGTTTACAGTCTTCTTGGTAATTGTATGCCTGGCTTTTATGTGCATTTAAGAGGGAGCAACTTAGAATGATGCTTCTGTAGCTTTGGTCTCCCCTGCACCTTTAGTAACAAGAATTATTCATTTCTTATTAGAAAGCATTTTTTGTGCTTCTTCTGAAAAAACAGCAGTGATTGCTTTTTTGGAAGGTCATGGAAGACCTTTTCCATGGCTTCGGACTACTATTTATCAAAGCTTTAGTTTTAATGGTAACATATTGAGGACTAGGGGCAAATGGACTGCTAGTGCAATAAGTGAAAACTTCATATATTTCTCATTGGACTTAAAAAGATTTTTAATTGATTTCAGAGAGGAAGGGAGATGAGAGAGCGAGAGAGAGAGAGAGAGAGAGAGCAAGAGAGAGAGAGAGAGGGAGAAGAAGAGGGAGAGAGAAACATCAGTGATGAGAGAATCATCGATTGGCTGCCTCTTCATAACCTTCCTGGGGATCAGGCCCACAACCTGGGCATGTGGCCTGACCAGGAATCAAACCTTGACCTCTTGGTTCATAGGTCAATGCTCAACCACTGAGCCACATCGGCCGGGCTCTCATTGAACACAATGTGCATTTATGGCTACATGCATAAAATCGTTACCCAAGAATTCGTATTTCCTAGAATGTGCAGTTTCTTATTTCATGGTTACACTGGAGAGCTGTTTATTCATTTTGTTTATGGTGCTCCTCTGAGGAGTTATGCTGCTATTTTCATCACTACATCTATTTGCCACTATTGATCCATTTTTGTGAACTGGAGATAGAATGCAACATAATAGGAACCACAAAACTTTATAATAACAAAAACAACTTGTAATCTCTGTCCGTGTAATTCTTGCTCCTTTCTAGGCAATAGTTCTCAT